TTCTAGATGGTGTAGAGTGACCAACTGTCCCAATTTTAGCCCTGAAAGTCCTGTGTTCCAGGAAACCCTTGGTCTGGGCAAACAGAAAGCTGGGACATTGGTGGTTTTTAGCAGTTGAGGGAGGATAAGCAGCCACTTAGAGATGAGAGGCAGGTGATCAGATAGAAAGTGCTTTGGAGCATTCCATGTTGGGGTTTGGATTCTGGCTAACCATCTTTGTCACCTTAGGTAGATCACCTCTCTGGTCCTGCAGAGAGCTTGGTCAAAGCAGAGTGTTTTCAGTTAGAGCCATGAGCTTGGCTTCTGTCTTGTCATTTATCAGCTCCTACATATGTTTACTCATCAAAAGTTGAGAGTGGCCCTAGCCGGTTTGGCTAAGTGGATAGAAAGTCAACTTGTGGACTGAAGGGTCCCGGGTTCAATTCTGATCAAGGGCATGTACCTCAGTTGCAGGATCCTCCTTGGCACAGCCTTGGTTAGGATACATGAAAGAAGCAACCATCAATGTGTTTCTCTTATATCATTATTTATCTCTGTCTTTCTCTCTTCTACTCTCCCTAAAAATCAATGGAAAAATAAATACCCTCAGGTGAGGATTAAAAGAACAAAAAACTACACAAGAAAAACAAACAAAAAAGTTGGGAGTGAAGTCTGCATGCTAGAATGGAGCTGGGTGCTAGAGATGCAAACTGAATATCTTTCATCTAACAAACTTCTTTCTTTCATCATGGTTCCTGCCCTCCCCGAGCTTGGAACATACCATCATCTGTGTCACGGAAGCCATAGTGGAGGCTCTTTGGTAGCAGTCCGTTTGGACTTTCTGCCTGGATAGTCCACGTTTATTGCTCGGGTAACTTGAGAGCCGTCTCTTTTCCTAGGAGATAATAGACTGAGCTCCCTAAAGACTAAAAGAATCAAATCTTTCTTGGCCCTTCAAATTTTGAAAGTTGTTAGTCCTATTCTCTTGAAGTCTCATTTTCTCCATTTGTAGTTCTAGCTCTGTCCCTAACTAGCAGTAAAACTTGAGCAAGTGACAGCTTCTTTTTGGGCCTTCGTTTATTTGTAAAATAGGGATAATAGTGATTCCCACTTCATGAGTAGTTAGGGGGATTCTGTGAGATCATTCCTGTTAACATTTAGCAGTGTCTGCCACATAGTAAACAATAGATGGAAGGAACGAAATGATTTCATTTTCCCCACCTCTCCAAGGATGCCCAGACTCTGAGCACCTCATAGAGAGGGGCCACATCTCACTGTATTTACTGTGTCCACACCCCTGATTGGTAAATAATAGGTGTTTAATAGTATTGGTGTATGACCTCATGATGATGATATGACCTATCTTCCAGAATTAATAAGGGTAAAGTAAGAAAAATATATTTAAAAGCACACTGTAAACTGAAAAGTCAGACACTTGGTATGTTCCTCCTCTAAGATACCTATCTTAGTGCATTATTCATTATTTGTCCATGTATCTGTCCTGCTCATTAGTCTGCGGACTTCTCCAAAGCGGAGACTACATCCTAATTCTAAATCGCGCTCCAACACCTGTAGTGTCTTGCACACAGTCGATGTTCAGGCCGTTTAGTTGAATGCAAATGTAAGGAATTGTGAAACTATTAATAGGGGAAGGAAGAGGACTGGTAAGTGCAAAGTAGTTCTTCTTTCCTTCCTGGCACTACCTTTATACAAGCAGATACTCAATATTCCTTAAAAAGCAAAAACAAAAAACCAAAACTTTTCTTTCATCATTTTTCATCTTTCTAAGGGAATGATGAAATTGAGTGAGGGGAAAGGAGAAGGGGAAGGAGTAAGTTTTAAATAACTTTTCAAGCTGGCACTTAAGCACATCTTCATAAGCTCTTGAAATTAATGTGATCAACCTATAATTTTGGGGTAACCTCTGAGGGTTACCCCTCTTTTTTCATGGAGCTGAGGCTGACTTTTTCCTCCTCTCTAGGAGGGTGATAATAAGTGTAAGCGCTTCAGTTGGCTCTCTTTCCCCAGGGCTGAAGAAGCCTGCAGCAGGAAAGTTTGAAGACAGAGCTGCAGTGGGGAAATCCGCAGGCCAAGTTTTCAGAGAATCTACTGGGGATATTGACTCGGTGCTCGCTGGTCAGAACAAGAGCTGAAGCGCTTACTGTTTTATAATAAATACTAATGAAATTTAGATCCATAATAACATTTCAGATATCTAAAACAAGCCACGTGTTTGTACAAAAACGAAAAGAGATAAACTTTAAGCCATAAATTCTTGGTAATAGAGGGTTTTTTCCTCTTTGTGTTTGATATATATATTTTTGTTTCCAGAGGAATGTCAACCCCTAATTTCATAATGTATCACGGGCTTAAGAAAATTGAATTTAATAAAAGCCAGAGATGAATGACATCTTTAAAGGTCCCAGCACTTGTCTTTATTAGCAGGACAAACTGCAGGTCTCCAAATACTGCTTCTCTCAAAATGAAAGTTTAAATGAAAAGTACAGTTGTGTCACAGGTTAAATTTCATTGCGGGTCCAGCTAACATTGTTAGTGAGGAGCTGGCTGTATTTGTTTCCTGAGACACCAGGCCAGTCAAACTCACCAGGCCATGGAGCTCTTTCTCCTGGGGAAGTATTTCTCTGCTTACTGGGAGATGAAAGATACATTAGAAATTTGGGAGCCAGGTAAGCCTGACTCAGATGCGCCCCACCCCAGAGTTGGCTCTTGGAGGCTTTGGAGATCTGAGTTTTCAGAGGGACCAAGATGTATGTTGTGTGTGTGTGTGCGCCTCAACTTTATTTTTTAGCACAACACTCTTCCACCTGGCCAGTTTTGTAGTGCATTGTGGAGAATAAGAGGCCAGGGAATTGGGGAACATGTGAGACGAGAAGCATCACCCAGTCTAAGCAGCAGCCTGGGCCTCCTCTCTGTCCCCCCTTGGCTTCAGCCTTGCAGCCTCCCTTCCTTCCTATTTTGAGGGGCTCCTGTCAGTTTTCCCATCTTTGGGGATCACCCCAGAGAGACCAGGCAACCAGAACCTTTTTAGTTTCTCCAACATGAAATCTGACTGGCTTGATTTGGTCTTCATTTCTGCTGTACTGTGTTGGATAAAAATGGGTGCTTTAGAAATAAGCCAGATAATAATGAGTATGTTTAGGGGGCTGGAGGAAGGATATCTGGCGACCCTGGAGATTGCCATTTCTCCTGTCTTTCCTTGTGCTTGTTTGCTGAGTGTTACCAGGTATCAACCGTTTCACTGTTGCTTCTTCAGGCTGTCCCTGGACAGAACCAATTTGCCTTGATTTTAGTGATACTGGAAAGGTTCTCTCCAGAATGGGGGACTTGGCATAGGGATGCTCCTGAACTGACTGCTGGGACCACTGGGTGGGCAGATATCTCTCTCTCTCTCTCTCTCTCTCTTTCTCTCTCTCTCTGTCTCGTGCACTCTCGCTCTGTGCACTCTCGCTCTCGTTGTCTTGCTCTCTGCAGTGGAGGCCTTTTCCACATGCTAATTTTACTCAGAGGATTTTGCTTTTATTTATTTTTTTATTATTTCCTATTTGTCTCTTCCAGATGTTTTCAGGGCAGTTTTTTTGTGTTGTAAACTAATTCCATTCATGTTTTAAAAATTTATGAAAGCGCTAATAAAAATGTCAAAGTGGTAAAAATGTTAGCTTTTCCTCTGCTTTGATTAAATTTTGCAAACTGTTTTTGAATATTAAAAAGCAATAATTTTTTTTATTCTCTCTGCGCGCCTTCCCTCTTCTCTCTGGTGCGTGTGTGCTCTCTCCTGCCCTCTCCCCCCTCCGGTGCATTCCTCCCTTCCCAGGAGCGATGTATGAGGCTTGCTGCACAGCCAGCCTTCTGCAAGCCTGTTTGCACACCAGGACCTTGGTGCTGTGCATCTCTATTAAATAACGGAGACAAATTAATCTTGGAGACACCAAACAAATTGTCACTCCTCCTTCTCTTCCATTACGTTCCAGTGGACTGGGAAAGGCTGGTTAAGCGATTTGGGGTGGGCGAGCTGCCTGCGGGGGGGGAGGGGGGTGCTTGCTGAAAGAAAGGTGGGAGGCACTAGCTCTTATTACTCTTACTCAGTTTTTGCCTTTTTACTATCCCCTTTGGCTTTATTATGTTTTGTTGTTATTGTTTTTGTAAAAACTAATGAAACTCCTCAGCTCTGTTTAAACTTCATATATAGGAGCCTGTGCATCAGTCTGATGGCTGGACATTCAGGCCCCTTCCAGGGTAGGGACCTGGTTCAGGGGAAGTAAAGGTCCCCTTTTAGGGGCTCCAGTGAACCACTTGCTAGAGAACCACTTGGGGAACTGGGGCAGATTGTACTAGTGTCTACCTTCTCCTTTCCAGAGACAACAGGTATGGGGCATGTGTCCAGTCCCTGGAACCTGTGAGCATATTCACAGTGGGAGGGTTAGGACTTGACTGAGTTTGCATCATCTCAGTCTTGGTTTGGCCTAGCAGGAGGTAATGAGTTCAAAACACTCCCTCATTCTTAACTCTGAGTTATTATTTGAAACTAGAGGCCCAGTGCATGAAATTCATGCATGGATGGTGGGGGTCCCCTCAACCCAGCCTGCACCCTCTCCAATCTAGGACATCCCTCTCACAGTCCAGGACTGCTGGCTCCTAACTGCTCAACTGCCTGCCTGCCTGATCACCCCTAACTGCCCCCTGCTGGCCTGGTAGCTCCCAAGTGTCCCCCTGCTGGCCTGGTCACTCCTAACTGCCCCCCTCCGGGCCTAATGGCCCCTAAACTGCCTCCTGCCAGTCTGGTCATCCCCAGTCGCCCCTCTGCCAGCCTGTTTGCCCCAGACAGCCTTCAATCATTTGGTCGTCCCTCACTAACCCCCCTGCTGGCCTCGTCACCCCACCCAGCCTTGTTCAGTCGTCCATCCAGTTGTTTCGGTTGGTCGTGACAGCCCCTGGCTTTTTATATATTAGGGTGGTTGATTTAAAAACAAACAAACACTTCTAATGTGTATTTGCCATTCCAGGAAATCATCGAGTTCCCCATCCTGAAGCTAAATGGCCGGACCATGGAGATTGAGTCTACTTTTCACATGTATGTCCAGCCCGTAATCCATCCACAGCTTACTCCCTTCTGCACAGAGGTAAGGGCCCTGGAGGTGGCAGCAATGGCCACTGGGGCAGGAGCTTTTGGGTCATTGGTATATAGGCTCATTAGGGAAAGTTAGGTCTTATCAGCAGTTAAGGCTGGTGCACATTGGACCCAGCAGTTGGCTCTTTACAAAGTCTGCCACTCCATTCGGGCCACTCTGGTCATTGGAGATCCAGGGAGAACAGTGGAACAATCTGTCCCAGCTTCCCCAAAACTTTTCACTTTCTTGTAATCCCTACCCTTCCTGGTGACTGGGCAGTAGGAGTCAAGGAGCAGGATGGTGCTTCTGGGCTCAAATTCTTTCAGTTTGATTTCCCTTAAGATCCCTTGACAGGAGGTGAAGATTTCAGCTTCTTAGAAGGAGAGGTTCGGGGTTTCTTAGCTTTCTGGTGATGATTCTCTGTCCGGAGGAAAACAGCCCTATGTGAAACATCAGTTGAGTTTGTAGGAAGCACACCATCACCGAGGAAAGAGAAGGGCAATCCGGTGGGGGTATAAGCAATCTGGCCAGGGCTGAAATGTCCTTATCCTTGATCTAGGCTGGTACTGTACTCAGCCACCTTGTCAGCAGGCTAGCATTGGCCCCATTTTCCAGTCTGGGAAACCGAGATCTTAAATATGCTTGTTGGAGGCTCAAATGAGCTATTGGCAGAGAGGCTCCCTTAAGAGTTCTGACTCATGACTATACGGAGAGCCTCTTGTGCCTGCTCTCCCCTGTGATGAGTTATGTTATGCTCTGTGGTGGTCACAGGCTGTAGTGAAATCACAAGAATGGTCAAGAATATGTAGTAACAGAGGTGATGGGGGAACATGAGTGTTTCCAGAATCCTTTCAGAATTTGGGACTGGGATACATTAAGACTTTGTGCCTTCATTTAGAGGCCGACTTTCACATATGAGTGAAACAGGAGGAATGAAGTTCTTGAGAAACCCCGAAACAATCTTGGTTGGAGGAAGCTGGGAAGGGCCTGCCTGCCAGGTGGGGAGGGCCCAGATATGGGGTTCAGAGGGTCATTCCTGGGTTTGATGCCAGTGTTTGCTGCCTAACTCAGGTGAGCCTTTTGTTGCAGGCCTCCGCCTGCCAAGGTGTCTAGTCTTTCAAGTCTTTTGTTGTTCCAGCTAATGACATTGAGGTTCTTTCTCTTTTTTGGGGTCTACTGTTTTTCCCCCTTTCCCTGGGAATAACCTATGCCACCAGAAGATACCAATTGTCTTTTTTGCCCCTTTTGAAAAATCAACATTTTAATGATGATGAAAATCCCCTTCCTTAGAGGAGGAGAAGGGAAAACTTTCCTTAAATTAGCTAGTTACCTGAGCCCTCCATGGGCCTGAAAGTGTAGTATCTTCTGTCCTTCTCTTCCTCCCCTCTGTGTAACTTCCCCTTGGGGGATCCAGCTCCGGCAAGGCTGTGTGGCATAGACAGGGAGGCCCAGATTTGTCAAGCTTGCTGCCTGTTTAGGACTGGAGCAGAGCACTGCCTGGGCAAGAGTAGATGCTCGATAATATTGGGAAAAGGGGTTTTTTAGAATAGGGCTGCTGCCTTTTTTTTTTTTTTGAGTGGGGAGGGATTGTTGGATTATGATGAAAACTTCTAGAAAGTTTCACACAAGGACATATATACATCATTTGGATGGTACCCTGTTTCCCCGGAAATAAGACAGTGTCTTATATTAATTTTTGCTCCCAAAGATGCGCTAGGTCTTATTTTCAGGGGATGTCTTATTTTTCCACGAAGAAGAATAAGGTACACATTTATTATTAAATGAAAATAAAGGAAATTTATTACCTGTATACGGTATGGTAGTACGGTAGTTGTCAACACAAACCAGACAAACTGTGAATCCTACAGTATCAAGAATTTACTCATTTATTCAATGACAATCATGTCATCATCTTCTGGAACATCATCATAACAATTCAATTCCTGAATTTCCTGGTGAATTTCTTGTGACTCCATATCTTTCAGAATCAGTGGACCAAATCTCTCATGTTTAGCCTAGAGGCCTTATTTTCGGGGGGGGGGGGGGATGCCTTATATTTCACTCAGAAGGAAACCTGTAAGTAGGTCTTATTTTCGGGGAAACACGGTAGTAGGCACGGTGGTGTTGGGAGATCCTTATTGTGAGTATGAAAGTGTGGCAGGCTTCCAGAGCTCAAAACTCTCTCTGACATGGTCCCTGCCTTTTTGTCCAGCCTCATATCTCCCAGCTTCATCTTCCCCTCACTTCCCTCATCCAAACGTCGCCCTCTCACAGTCTGCCTCTGCACATGATGGTCCTTTGCCTGGATGATGCTCCCTCTCTCCTCCCCCAGCCCTACTTGTCCCCTAAGACTGTGTTCAGGGAAGGTTGGGTTGTGTTCACCCCAACATAACACTGATCATTTACATTCAACTGTAATTATTTATCTTGTCTCCCCACTAAACTCAGTGAGCAGAAACTAGATCTGATCCATCTTTGTCCCATCATTAGGGCCCAGTACCAAGCAAACACTTAATACATGTTCCTTAAATGGATTAATATTGTCAAGGAGTTATTCGACCACACCTTGCCTCTCCTAGAGTAACTGTACTGCTGACTTGCTTTTTTGAGAAGTAAAGTCTTTGGAAAACCTTGGATCATCTAAATATTGCCCTGTCTCCATACCATATGACCGCTATGCAGAGAGAGGCATGGACACAGGATGGGGGCCATTGTTCTCAGACCTCATCCAACCTGGCAGTAATTGCCCTTCCAGCTAGAGGGACCCTTTCATTAGTAAGTGAGGATCAATCCCAAAGCTCCTGGTTGTGCCTAAGCAGCTCTTCTGGTATGATTTTCTATCATGCACAAGTTCTTAAGAACTCTGGCGTGTGTGTGTGTATGTGTGTGTGTGTGTGTGTGTACACTAACGACACATGAGTACACACATGAGCACATGCTAGTATTGAGGAGAAGGAGATAGGCTCAGTACTGGCAGGAGGAAGAGGGATTCTGCTTCGGGTGAGTCTGTAGCCCACATACAGACACTCTATCTCTCTGTGTAATGAACATGTTACTGGCCTTGAGATCCTTTCTTACTTTCAGTTGATTGCCTGGAGACATGGTTCTGACAGGGGTAGGATGGGATATATTTCATTCCTTCCCAAGCCCTAACCCTATCACTAGATTCTGCTCCAGCTCATTAGATCTCTGACACCAGCAGCTGGACTGCCACACAGTCCCTGACCATGGGCAGTCTTTTTTGTCATTGTCATTGTCGTGGGGAAAAAAAACAAACTAGAAAAATACCCATTTTGCTAAATGCCAGTAAAGGGCTTTGTCTTTCACCTGAACTTATAAAGGGTGAGATTTATTGGTCTTTTTGTCTGAGGACAAAGAGTGGGTCTGATTATCAGATTGCACACCAGAGACAAGTGCTTATGTAATCAACAAACTGTCTTGGTGTCAGAATACGATTGTGTTGGAGATAAACTGTGAAAGGAGAAAGTGCTGGATGCTGACATACTATTGGCACCAAGTGTCTTGGGCTGCTTCCTGCAGGTGCTAGTGTTTGCGATGAAGCCAGCTCATTCCTGGACAAAGCCCTTGTGTGGGTAGGGAATCTCAGGAACCAGCCATGTTATCAGTCAGGGTCAAAAGCCCCTCGCCTTGTGGTTTCCGAGTCTGGAGAAGCGGGAGTTAATCTGTAATCCCTCAGTGAAAGGAGCCACAGAACACACATTAATTCTTCCTCTCACCTCTCCTACTTTAAGTGGTTAAGGTCTTTGAGCTCTGTTTAGCCTGTGAGCTCTGGTTCTCAGCTTAATAATACTTGGCTTTGGTCTAGTACCTTTCATTGTGAGGATGCGAAAGCTTTTTTACAAATATATATTAACCCCAGTGGAAATGAGCTTAAACTGTAGCATGAAAGATTTAAGTTATGCCTAAGGTAGAACTTCTCGGTAATTATTCTATTAAATTGTCTCTTGTCTCTCTCCCTCATAGCTTGTGGTCTAAGTCTTACAGGTGTCTTACTGGCTGTCAGTATCAGGCAGAGGGACTAACTTTCTTAATTTCACTCCCTCTTCAGCCAGTGCCTTGGCAGAGCTGAAAAGATAATAGTCCATCCTTGGAGGAATTAATAACACAGGGGAATGAGGCCTCCCCCTGGGAAGACTGCCTCTAGTTGAACCAAGAGCTCAAGCCTCTGTGTCTCTGGGGTTGAGTCAAGTCCTTTGGGAAGTCAGCTGTAAGCTGTCTTGCTGGACCACAAGTGTGGTATGGGAAGCATGGAGACAGAGGGAGCTGAGCTCACTAGGTTCTTCTCAAACTGGTAATTCTAGGATTACTGACCACTGGAGAGAGTTTGAGAAAGCCTCAGAATCCTAGAGCCCCCACCCCCACCTCCACGGTGGAAAGAGGTGGGCCTAGTCTGTAGAAGCTCCCACAGAGCAGCGCCTGGTTTTCCTTTTTGATAGAGTGATTTTTCTCTCCCAAGCCAGGGATTTTCCTAGGGCCCAGAGCAAATGCTTCTGGGGTACACAGATGCTGACCTAAGTTCCATCTCCAAGGAGGGAGGGTTCTTGGCAAGGGTGCCATTGGTTTCCTGTGTGTCCGGAAGCCTTTCGGCATTGAGCTCATCTGAGTGACCCTTGGTGGGAGCCAAGAGAAGGAGTAGCCCTCCCTTGTCCCAGAAACTCAGACCAGAGATGAGACTGGCCCGCAGACCCTGGAGCTTTCCAAGAAGTAAGAATGGCTGTGGGCCCTCTTCCAGGATAGTCCTGACCCAGAGCTCTAAGTTTGGGGATGGAGCTCGGTCCTGGAAGAACTAAGCAGGAGAGAACCTGGGCCAGAAAGGGCAGTGGTGGGTACATGGGTGGTAGTCGGTCATCTGGATATGGAACTGGAGTTGGTAACAGGTCTACTCTGGACTCTGGCCCCTGTATGCTGAGGTAAAACATGGCAACTGCCTGCTCAGTGTGTGTCTCTGGAAGGTGTACATGCTTTGGGTGGTAGCGGGGCTGGGCATAGGAAAGGGCTGCCAAAAAGAACACAGATCCAATGAAGGCTTTCATGTTTTCCTCTTCTGCTGACTCCCTAGTTCCTAGAATGGGGCCAGCGCAGTGTAGGCTCTCCATGAATAGTTGTTGACTAAATCAGAGGAGTCTTAGCACTCCAGGATTAAAGCTGCTGACCCTGGCTCGTCTCCTCCCTGCCCCCAGCCCTCAGTAGACCATCTGTTCTTCTCCTTGGCTCAGCCCTCCCTCTGCTGGGCAATTCTCTGGTCTCCCAAGCAAGGAAAGGGTGTGGAGGTGCCAGCCGGGTGGGCATGCTGTGGGTTAAAGCCTTTTGAAACAACAGTGTAGTTAATCTTTCTAATTTATTTTCCTTTTAGACCATGGGAAGTCTGTAGGCAGCAGCTGTTACCCAATTAAAATACAGATTAATATAAAAACAGTTTCTGGAATATAAAATAGAGTGGCTGTGTCCTTACACTTCCTTAAAATACCACCTAATAATGACTTGATGAACTACAGAAACCCACCTAGAGGAACTCAGCGTTTTTAAAATGAAAATTTCTTCCCTGAAAGGTGTGTATTACCATTCCATGTAAGTCACTGTGAGAAAATAACCTTCCCTCTTAGTGCCAGCGGTTTCTGTGAGTTGGGTATTTGGTATTCATTAAATGTAATTATAGTTTAATTGGAGTTTAATCTGCACCCCCAACACTTAAAAAAAAAATAAAAAGAAGTATCCAAGCAAACCTTCGATGCTCCTGTCTCTGGAAGTAGCCAGGGGCACAGTGGGCATAGTGATTTCCAGCTGAGTCCTGTTCTGTGGATGCCGACCTCCTGCCTCAGATCCTTGAGGTGATATGTTCTAGTCTGTGCTTGAGGGTTGTTTTTTGGTGGTTTTTTTTTTTTTTTTTTACTACACAACAAAACAAAGCAGTAAGCTTGTTTTAACCTAAGCCTGCCCTCAGTGAAGCATAGTCCCGTGAGTCAGAAATTCTCTAGACCAGGTTTGTACCTTAGGCCTTTTTGCCTGAGTTTCCCCATCAGTTAAACGTGCCTGTTTCCTGCTTGGCTAGTTGGTATTGAGGCTCCAGGTACACAGGGTGAAAGGTAGAGCTTGTGGGACCTTCACTGCTGTTAGATGGGGAAATGCTGGACATCCAGGCCCAGAGAAGGGGTGGACTTGAAACCAAGTGTGCCTGTCCTATGTGGTTATTGCCTAAGTCTGACAGAAGCTTCTGTGAAGCTTGGAGGTGATTTACTTTAGACTGAAATTTGTGAGGAGTCATTGAGCCTATAGAACACAAAAGACATGTAAATTTTTTTTTTTTTTCTCCTCTTGTAAATGAAAGCTGAAACAGGTATGAGACATACCCTGTGATCAGCAGGGAGATGTGGATCTATTTCAGGGCCGTGATGTTGTTGGGAAGTTTACAGTGTGTCCTGGGGCTTGATTCCCAAAGCTTCTGCCAGGTTCTCAGCCTAAAGCAGTGCAGGGCAGAGTTCTTTACAGTAGGAGGATAAAAACAGGAAGAAAAGGAAAAACAGAAACTCCAGCTTCAAGTTTTCCATTCATGGGCTCTTTCTCTTTCCTTTCAGCTCACCGGGATTATTCAAGCCATGGTGGATGGTCAGCCAAGCCTGCAGCAAGTGCTGGAGGTAGGTTGAATGACCTTTAATTCCTGACCTCTGATCTCTTCCCGCTGCCTTTCTCTCCCGCCCCTCCTGAGAATGTGGTTGTGTAATTTGACTATGATTATGGCTTGATTAGAATAACATTTGCTGTCACATCAGTGACATGCTGTTGAGGGTATTGAACCATTGATCTGTCATCTCCAGCTGTTCCCGTCAGGGTTACTGACAAGATGTCCGAGTGTTGCCAGGAGGCTGGCAGAGAGCCCCCACCCTTTCCAGTGCTGGCCAGTGCTGGCCAGCCTGTGCTGGGCACGTTGGGGAGGAGGAGGGCTGAGCTGTGGCACTGTGGGACTGGCCCCGGGGACTAGAGGTGTTTTTGTTTAGCTTTAGCGTTGGCTTCTTGTGGCATGTGAGCACTTCATTAACTCACCCAGAACTCCCCATCGATGGCTTTTGTTTGCTGTCGGCTCCTCCAGGAGGTGCGGCTGGGCCCGCCTGCCCCACTGCAGCTTGCTGCTGGACGCATTGTGCTTGTCGGGTGCAGAGGCTGTACTGGGTAATGATTCCTAATCAGAATAATTACAACAATTGCTTGTGTGAGGAAAATCAAATTAAAGGCTTTAGAACCCTTGGCAGAGACCACACTTCTAGGATGTTCTCCTCGGGGAGCTGGAAAAGGTTAGGATGCCGCTTCTTGTGCTCCAGCCTAAGGGAAGGAGGAAGGGCAGTGCTCTGCCTCAGCTTGTCTCCCAGCCCCCCTCTGCTTGGGGGTTTTCAGAGAGGGAGATGGTCCTTTCCCAGGTCCCACACCCACTCCCTTCTCTCTAGGGAGCAGGGAGAAGATTTCCCTAGGTGCTTTATTTATCTTTAAGACCAAAGCACTCAAAGCTGAGCCCCTATCAAAGCACAGGAGAAAGCAGACTATCTGGGGAAGAGCAGGGCACATCTGCATTGGAGGTAGTTAGCATAGAGGAAGGAGGGTGGTGGCAGGAGAGGGAGGAAGAGCTGTCTATTTAGCCAAGAGGACCTGTCCCACAGGGAAGAGAAGTGCAGACTGAGTTTCCTGAGCTCCGCAGGATGGAACCGGAGCCAGAGAGCTAGGTTTCGGCTTAGCCAGTGGCAGAGTGCTTTTTGTCCCTGACAGTGTGCAAGCCCAGGCTCTGACCAGTCAGGCTCTGTGCAAGGAGAGGCTTAGGGTACTAAAGAAGGCTATGAGAAGATAAGCTCTGAGATGTCTCCCAACCCTATTGTCCCTCTTTTTAGCAATTTTTAAGCATATTTTTTTTATTGATTTCAAAGAGAAAGGGAGAGGGAGAGAGAGAGAGAAATATCAATGAAGAGAGAGAATCATTGATTGGTTGCCTACTGCACACCACCTACTGGAGATTGAGCCTGCAACCCAGGAATGTGCCCTTGACTAGAATTGAACTCTGGACCCTTCAGTCCACAGGCCAACTCTCTATCGACAGCAAAACCATCGAGAGTTTGTTCCTCTTTTTTTGACAGAAGATTCACTCTTATGTCTGAGGGGCCTCCTCATCATGGACTGCTCCCAGGCTCAAGGAGAAAGAAGGGACCTATCCTTCCTTCTGTCATAGCCTGCATCCCCTGATAGGTCCGGCTCCCGAGGGAGGATATAACACAGGCAGCTTGTCCCTGGGATGTCCCTGTTTGGTCGGGGTTTTGGGAGGAAGATGCTTGTTCTGGGCTAGCACCAAACCAGGACTGGTGGGGTTAAGAGAATTTTTTCTGTCAGTGGTGCCAGTTGAGGGGAAGATGTGTCTTCAGGAGGCCAGCCCTGGAGAGGAATGCTCAGAGGATTCTAAGTCTCTCCAGGAAGCTGCTTTTGCTACTTCAGCACGCTTTGTGGGGAAGAGGGAAGATTTCTGGCATCAGCCTGAATAGGGAGTCCAGATAAGGAGACCAGACCTGCTGGTTATAGAGCTAAAGAGCTAATTTTTTCTCTTACCCAGGCCCTGAGCAGGTAGTTAGCTAGGTGTTTGCCTGCCTCATTTGTTCTTTTTATTTTTATTTTTCACTTAGCTCATTTGGCCTCTTCCCACCTCCAATGTCCAGCCTAGAGCCATTAGAGCCAGCAGGGAGAGAGAGGATACAGGAGTGAATAGTGGTCATTCCTTCATCCCAAGACAGGGCCAGTGGATGAACTTTCTAGGCTCCTGAAAACCCATCCATCCACATAGCCATCCACACACTCATGCCCCGCCCATCCACTCATCTATTTACCCATCCATAATCTACCCATCAACCCATCTGTCCATCTGACTTAGGTGTTCTAAGTAGGCTCAGGCTGGGTTCCTTGAGACCTTGGGTAGCTGGAGGGGGTCTGTCCTTAACCTAGCATCCCGCCTCAATTCCTGTTCCTCCTTTCCATGCACTGTGGGCTGGGGTCACATTACTCCCTACTCATATTCAATCTGAAAATATATGGGTTAGAGATTACCACAGTGAATAAGACAGATAAGAGTCCCTGCCTTCATGGTGCTTATAGTCTGGTAAGGAAGGCTGACATTAAATAGATAATTGCTTCTCAAATACACAATGATTGGGCATGTGCATTTGTCTTTAGTATTTTTTTCTCCATTCCACCCTGTCAAGCAAACCCAATTTCTAATTCAAGTACCTTCTTTTAATTTTTTTTTTTTTTTTTTTTTTTTTTTTTTTTTTTAGAGAGGAAGGAAGGAAAAGGGATAGAGAGATAGAAACATCAATGAGAGAGAAACATCATTGGTTGGCTGCCTCCTGCATGCCTCCTACTGGGGATCGAGCCTGCAACCCGGGCATGTGCCCTGACCAGGAATCGAACCAGTGACCTCTTGGTACATGGATCAATGCTTAACCACTTAGTCACACTGGCCAGGCTCATTATCTTCTTTCTGAAATCTTTCTGACTCCTTTCTCTATAAATGGTAGAGCTAGCCACTTCCTCCATTTGATCCTGTAGCATTCTGGTCACTTTTTTATTAATGCATCTATTACATTGTGTTATGATGATCTGCCTCTCTCCCCTTCTTAGTCTACTGTCTATTTTGTATAAGCATTTAAATACATTATTACATTTAATTCTCAAAACAATCTGTAAGGGGAGTCATCCTACCTCATTTTACAGATGAAGGGAACTGAAGTTCAGAGGGGTTAAATTACTTTTAAACGACTTCCCATCAATGACAGCCAGGATATTGAAGAGCCAAGGTTAGAACCCATATGTGTCTGACTTTTAATTCTGCATTTCTAACTACTATGCCATATAGCCTTTAAAAACAATTCTCCTGTGTGAGTCGAGTGGTGGTATGATCTGCTGCCCATGCCTGGGATCGTCTGAAAAATAGGCGATGCTTCATGAATTCTTGATAATAATTCTGTCATTATATACTGATTTTAGTATTTGTACTTCCATTGTGAGTGCAAATAATAAAACCATGAAAGGGATGAAGGGAGAACCAGACTCAAAGTGTGTTTAGGAGCAATTTCTTTCCCTACCTAGGAATTGTGCTCAGCCTTCAAAAGAATCTGCTGAATTTTAATCATCAACGAGGAGAGGAGAGATACCAAGTTTGGGGCCGATTATGAGCTTGCTCCCGCCCAACAAAGGGGCTTCTTCTGCTAGAGTCATGGTGGAAATTAACTTTACTTTCACTTGGGGAATAACCAAATTCATAAGTTTGGTTAATAAACATTTGGTGGGAGGGTCAAGTGAATAAGCGAATGAATGAACCTGAGGGTTGGAGTCCCTGCTTGGGGATCCAGCCTGTTCTCATGGCCCAGGACAGCCCATGTCCATGCTAGACTCTGCCTTTGAGGACCAAAGGTATTTGGATTGACCTGCTAGGATCTGTCCTTATCCTGTCTAGGGTAAGTAACAGGGCTGTGGGGAACCCCCTTACCCCCCACCTCAAACACTTTGTCTTGTGGGATCTTCCCATAGGGATCGTCCTGCAAGTGCCTCTGTAGTTCTCAGCCAAGGCTGAGAGCCCAGAGCAGAGCCATGGCTGGATAAGATTACAATTTCCTCCTGCTCTGATTACCAGCAGCTTATCTGCGTTTCACTGTTGTGGCTCTTCATGTACTCAGTGGGGGGGAGGGGGGGAAAGAAAAATCTCATCTATTCTTGTGTACTTTTCAGAGAGTCGATGAGTGGATGGCGAAGGAAGGCCTCTTAGATCCAAACGTCAAGTCCATTTTTGTCACCTGTGGAGACTGGGACTTAAAAATCATGTGAGTATGAGAGGGGCAACTTTGCTGGCAGGGTTTTGAATCTGTGAGACCAGTTCTTGCCTTTCACAGAAATAAATGCCCAAACCTATAGGATAGCTGGACCAGGAGTCCCTGGATTTGGGGGGCTTCCAGGATAAGAAGAGGCTTGGGAGCCCTGCCTGCCTCTGGGATAGCTGTTTTTGCCAGGTGTCACTACTTAGGACAGCCCTTCAGTTGCAGGGCTACATGTCATTGTCCTGGAAGGAAGAAGTTAAAAGAGGGAATGTAAAGCCGAAACTGGTTTTGTTCAGTGGATAGAGCGTCAGCCTGTGGACTGAAAAGTCCCAGGTTTGATTCTGGTCAAGGGCATGTACCTTGGTTGCGGGCACATCCCCAGTAGGGGGTGTGCAAGAGGCAGCTGATTGATGATTCTCTCTCATCGATGTTTCTAGCTCTATCCCTCTCTCTTCCTCTCTGTAAAAAATCAATATATATATATATATATATATATATATATATATATTTTTTTTTTTTTTTTTTTTTTTTTTTTTTTTTTTAAAGAGGGAATAGTAACTCATTTTATAACCATAGGTACTCTTATTTCTATTTTTATAGATAAGAAGATAAGAGAAAAGAGGTTAACTAACTAGCCTAAGACACTCAGGGCCAGGATTCAAACCAGGCAACCTGTCTCCAGGGCCCTTTCTCTTAACCATTATACTGTGTTATCCACCACCACCACCCCTCCTCCCCCGCCCCTTATCTGGAATAGGCCCTGATGACCAACTGAGAGCCAAGTGTAGAATGAGAGAGGGCTGCTTCTAGTCACCAGTCTCCTCTGTTCTCCTTTGTCCCATTGCTTTTTCTCCTTTGTCTCCTGATTCTGGAAGACAAAACTGGTTACTTTGCTGGGCTGACACTTCTGACTCTTGTCTGTCCTCATGGATACCTGGCTTCAGACAGCCCCCAGGGAACTAAAGTGGGGTGGAGGTGGTAGGGGCATTGTTTGCTGAGGACTGATAGAATCAATAACTCTGTGTTCTTTGTGACTGATGGAGGTGGCAAGCGTGTGTGTGTGTGTGTGTGTGTGTGTGTGTGTGTGTGTGTGAGAGAGAGAGAGAGAGAGTTTATATACGAGCATACACATGCATGCACCTATGCTTTTGAGCATAGCATGGGCTATTGGTGGGGAGTTGGAAGTAGTGGTTCTGGAGTGATATTTCCTATCAAATCAGGCATTGTTTTCTCACCAAGGTCTTTTTTATGCCTTTTGGAGACTGGGTATTGAGGCAAAGCTATGCACCCAGCTTGATGGGTGTCAGGCCTGCAATTGGATACCAACTCTCTAGGTGAGACAGGAGGAAGAAAAACAAGCCCAGGTCACATAAACACCCACACACCTCATCTCCCACATCCGTTAGGTCATGTACACACACTGGCTTCACACTCCAGGTGTGCACACACAACTCCCACAGCGCCAGGGGATCTCTGTGCTCCCCGATAACACTCATCAGTCAGGGAAATTATACAGGCTGGGCTGGTATGAATCAGAGGCAGGCTCCATGGAGAAAGGAAGAGGAAGGCTGTTGTTCTTGTTTAAGGTATCCTGGCAGCTTTGAGCACTTGAAGGAGAGGACTTACGTGGAGCTCCATAGCACAGGAGAAGCTATTTGGGGTCGGGCAGAGTGCAGGCTAATACCGGATTGAGGCTCCTGTGGTCCAGTCCAGAGGCCTGGTTCCTCCAGGTGGCCTCCCAGGGCTCCCACTTTTCTAGTGGTTTTCTACTTGTCTTTGGCATGTTCATGTCATACAACCCATATTTCAGAATCTCTTGTGTTGGTTGTGACTGGCATGTACATACACAGGGTGGGGCAAAAGTAGGTTTACAGCTGTTCCTGTGGGAAATAAAACCGTAATTAGTAACAATACAAGAATAAACTCTGTGTCTCATGTTCTTGCAGTATGAACAGCTACTTTTGCCCCATCCTGTATGTGCATATGAAAACGTTCCCGGGCATGAGGTTGGGGACTACATGGCTGGGCCCCCTAGGCGTGAAGTCTGGCCCACTTTGGCCTGCAGTAGCGTTCAGCCATTGGCATGGTGGGCCCTGACTCCAGAGGCTGCTCTGGGGCTTCACAAGCAATGATGTAATCAAGAAGATGTGATCTAGTTTGGGGATTGGGTTGTTCAATCTAAGCATATATGGAAGGGAACTGCTTTTTCATGAGTACATAGCCATATGTCATTCCGTCCTCCTATCTTCCTTGGTAGGAGGTAGTATCACTTTAAAGCTGAAATGAACACACAAAACAAAATTAAAAACTGATGCTCAAATTGGTAAAGACTCACAGCTAGAGAGAATTGAATTCGGAGACCATAGCGTCCAAAAGGAAAAAGGGGTTAGGTGGACTTGGGGCGCTGGTTTGGGTTTGGACTGGGAAAGCCCGGGAAGCTCTGAAGATTGTGCAGGAGGAAGCAGATGTCAGGTGGCAGGGGCTGGGGGGAGGAGAGCACTGTGCTGCCTTTTAGAAGCAGGATTCCGCGTAACTGCTGGCAAGGCTCTTAATTAAATGTGTAACAAAATAAAAACAGCGAGAGAGGAAACCTAAGTAGTGCTGCGTGACAGCGCACAGCTTATCGGCATTCCTGGAACCTCTCGTCAGATGGCTCGTCAGAGCCCTCACCTTTTCATGGGCCTGGTAAAGGCTGATGATGAGCCTGACAAGGGTGGTGTTAGACTGACACCCACAACTTGTTAGTATGTGGCTTACTTCTTATTTTGACATCCATTTTCAGATTTAACTAACGCTAAGGAATTCAGCAAATATTTCCATTTCCCACTCTAGTTTCTGAGAGACATGGCTCCGCATTGCTGTCCTCCCTCTCTCCCAGCCCCCGCTTCCCCCAGCCGGCTTCATGTCACTTTTGTTGGAAAGGGCCTGATTAGTGAAGCACTGAGAAATGGGAACTGAAGTGGCAGCAGAAATCCCACCGGAGAAAAGAAATCTCCCATCCTGACAAAATCATTTTGTGTCCATCTTTTGTCAAAATAGGATGAGTTGATACTTCAGGTTTATGTGGGCTTTGATGCTGTAGTCACAGATCCTGCTTAGGCGGGTGTTAATTTAGTTGAGTGCTGATTTAATTTTCTTTCTAAACATGTTTAAGATACAACACTTGTTCTGGCATTGGTCCCTGGTAGCTTGCGTTCACTACCTGAAGCTCCTAATGGGGTTTAATGCTCTTTCACCAGTTTTCTCTCTTCTCTTCTTACACAGGCAGGGATGTCTCTATAAAGGGGTTCCATCTTTGGCTTGGTGGGAAGGTAGGGCCGGTGTAGTTTGGGGAGGTGCCACCATTAAGAAACTCAGATTTTAGCCTTCAGCTTGAAGATCTGGATTCACCAACTGAACAGCACTGAGTGGCCGAGAAGCTAGACCAGAGTCTTTCACAGGGGCCTGTGAGTCTAAGAAGAGGGGCAGATCAGGAAGAGAGAAGGGTAGGGTTAAGGGTGAGAATGGAGGGGTAGGGAAGAGCTGACACAAAGGAAGGCCTGGCCCGCAGTGCAGTCTGGGAAGAGGACCTTTGGAGAGGATCCATATAATCAGACTCTGCTCCACTAGGGCTGCTCAGAGCTTGCTGCAAGGACCCTCACCTAGCTCAGCCTCAGCTCTGGAATTGAAAGTGTCAATGCTGGGCTGCCTTCCTCATGAGGGTGCATACTACACCTTTCTGATGGTGCCTGTGCAGTTGTGACCTGGAACACTTCAGGTTTTAGAAAGTAGAGATCAAAAGATATTTGTTCAGATTGCTCAGTTTTATTTGGGGGACATAAACTCAGTGGGGACTATTGAGGGTGCCTCAGGGCTGCAGTCAAGTGGCCAACACTATTGAAGAGCTACAGGCACCTGGAGTGAAGTCCCATAGTGATGGAACCACACACCTGGGAGGGAACTGGGACAGTGACTGCCCTGTGTGTGTGTTTGGGGGAAGTGTAGGATATAGACAAAAGGTTGGGACTTCTTGGCATCATTCAGCCGAATTGACCACTTCATCCTTCTTGAAATGCGCTGTATATTTACTTTTCTGTCTCCCTTTCCTCTGGTTTTTCCTTCCCAGTGTTGTATGTGGATGCTTTTTTCCTTTTCATTACATTTTGTTTCTTAAATATTGGTAATTCTTTGATCTCTGTCCTAGCTGTTTTTTCTTTTTATTCTGCACACTCACACTTATCAGAGTGATCTCATCTTTTGCCATAGCTTCAAGTACCCTCTGTATGCTGATGTCTTATCATCTTTTCTGCAACTGAGAAATGGAAACTGACATGGCAGCAGAGATCCCACTGGAGAAAAGACACTGTTCCATTTGCCATCTGAACTCCAAACCTTCATATCCAGCTCCGAGTCTCAGTCCCCACCTACATGTCCATAGGCGCCTAAAAGCTCAAGCCTTATCTTTCTCTCAACACTAGACCTCCACCATTCCCTCAGATGGCAACTCAGTTCTGTCAGAAACCTGAGAATCATCCTTGATTCTTTATCTGGCCATAACCAATCAATTGCCAAATCCTGTTGAGTCTTACTCCTGGAGCTTTCTCAGAGTCATTACCTTCTTTCCATCCCATTTCCACTGCCCTAGTGAAGGTCACAATATTCTTTGTGGTTTACTAAATGTAATCAGCCTTTTTTCAGTCCAGTCTTGTTCTTTTACAGTAGATTGTGTCACACTCTTGCTTAATACCCTCTCCTTTGTTTGCATTGAGTGGCAGACCCTTGGGATATTCTGATTTTTTTTTTTTTTTTTTTTTTTTTTTTTTTTTTTTGGCTGCTGCTACCTGGTCTGGGGTTGGTGGAGGTCTGGAGTGTTATGTTCATTTTTTATATGGGGGCATAGTTGGCCAGGAGATGTGGTGGAGGCAATTTGGTCTCTGAGAACCTCCTTCCAGAGCTATAAATGAATGAATCCTCAGATCTATCTTAAGAAAACCACTGCCAGGCCCTGGCTGGTGCAGCTCAGTTGG